ATCAACTGGAGGCACTTCGTTTCCTGGGGCGGCTACGTTGTCGTTTTCGCCGTGAAATCCAAGACCATTGTCGATGTGTGTGGGTACTACTTGAGAGTTCGACATGCTGATCCTAGAATCAAAAACGCTTACAAGAACAAGTGTAAAGAAGTATGTGTTATTAAAATTAGCACCAGGCAATCACTATTATCCTTAGCCCCACGGAGGGCGCCAAACTGTTTACCCTTAAAATCGGATAACAATTAAATTTCTAAGTGGTTTTAAGGATATGTGATTTCACTTGGCACAAACTGAAAAATATAAGAATTGAAGTTAGAAATTAACTGTAAAAGGAAGCAAACCAATGTAACGCGCAACTTTAGCCCTCAAGCTAGGTCGTCCTCGAACCAACTGAGTATATTATTGAGAAGCAAGAACTAAACAACTGAATAAGAGAGCTTAAGGGAGAAAACATAATATATTTCTTTGTTATGCGTGAATCTCCCCCTTCAAAATGATTGGAACCCCCCTTTATATAGTAGAGGAGTTCTACATATGGTACAATTCTAAATACACAAGGAAATCTTCTGATTGGCTAATCAACCGGTCTTGACTTGATATATGCCGAGATCTCCGCCACAATCCTCGCCTGATCACGGATTCCTCGGTTTTTTGTTATTCGACTTAGCAGGCCTCCTTCGATCTCGCTAGATCCCTATCCTTCTCGGTCTCGACCTTAGCTGGTCTCGGTCTCGATCGATCCCTGAATCACGAGTTAGGCAATATTTATTCACGCAACGATCCAATATAACTTGAGATTGAACCTCGGTTTGCCACCCCGGTCTCGATTTACCATACAAAATCGGGTAAGCATGATTTTGACCGTATACATATTTATTTAACAAACTCATCTTCTCAATAACCACCAAGTTAGCTCCATTAAAGCAGATTCATTGGTATATATAACTTAATTATATATAAAAAAGAATTTAGTTATTTTATTTTCTCTTGATATATTCTTGCAGCTTAAAGATGAAGGTGTATAAAGTCGTAAAATAAGCCTAGGGCCAACTAAAGTGCAAAAGTTAGGAAGTTGTGAGACTTAATTTATGGATCAGATCTCCTGTTGTTCCTCATCGGTAGAGCAGTTGGTCGTAACCAGTTGGTCAAAGTTTTTTTTAAATTAATTCCTACGACCCGGGCTTTCACCTCCTGTGGTGATGGGGATTTGGCATTGACCCCTACCTTGTTTGTTATAAAATCAAGAAAATATATAATAGGAGGGGAGCATAAAACCAAAACTTTCCGATAAATTACATAATTGAAAATCTACAAATAAGACATATCTAATACATATAGCAAATCCAACAATAGAGCCATATGATCATAGATTTGTTATATGTGCTTATATGTCCAAAAAAAAAATAAAACTTTTTTTTGCCTCATTGGGGACATAAAAGCACTTTAAAAGGATACAAATAAGGTTAGCTAGCTTGCATAAAAAAGTAGACTATCATCTCGCAATACAATGGTTCTTGACAACTTTATGTCTTAGATTAGGCAATTGTATCCTGTCAAGTTTATAATATCCGAAAGCCTGCTTAGGGAGATTAATGTCATTGAAGATCATAATCTCATGTATTTCATGGCTCCATTTAGCGAGTATGTCTGCCACATTATTAGACTCTCAGTAGCAATGCCTAATAACACTATTGTGAGTTTGTATGAGTTGTTGTGCCTCTTTGATGATACTATCGATATGCCAGGGTGGTTTCAAAGTATTATTCAACATATTGATAACCAGTTTGGAGTCACATTAAAGCATAATTCTATCATATCCATTTGAGTGACACCATTGCATGCCTAACAAAGCAGCCTTAGCTTTGCCATATTACTAGTACCACGCCCTAAACTTTGTGAGAAGGCCATAATCATATTGCCTCTATGATCTCTTAATATACCACCGGCACCAATCGATTCATTATCTTGTTTGCTACCATCTGTATTAAGCTTGGCCCAACCAAGTAAAGGCCTTTCCCATCTTACAGGAATGCAAATTATTTTAGTAGTTAAATTTCTTAGCTTGTCACATATCAAATACTATGGAACAAAACCTTCTATAGAGATGTTATGCTTAGAGACCACCTAGCTCAAGTGAGAAAGTACATGAAATTAAACTCTAGCAAAAGAAATTTTAATACCTCCATACTTTGACGCACATCTAGCTTTCCACAACTCCCAGCATATAACTATAGGGGTGATCTTTATGATGATCTGAGTAATTTTGTTATTAGATTTTGAGTTCCACCAACTGCTAAGTATGTTAAGAATAGGCATGTCTTCCCAACGAATTCCCAGCGGAGCACCAAAGTGCTTCCAGGTGTTTTGAGCCATTTAGCTAGTGACAAATGTGTGTTGCATAGTCTTTATCTATGGGGTTCTGCAGCAGTTACACGTAGAAATAATTTGCTGACCAAAAAAAATTATTACATCATCAAAAGGTAAATTTTTTAAGCAATCTCCACATTAAAAAGGACATTTTATAGGGAAGATATTTATGCCATACTCCCTGAAGTAATGGGATTGTACCTCTTGACTGTCTAACAACTTGCCAAACTGATTTAGTAGTAAAGAAACCAGTGAAAGAAGGCATCCAAATAGAAGTATTAACACTATTAGGATCTCCAAACTTGGAAGATTGAATTAACTCAATAATATATTCAGGCAATTGCTGGAGTTCTTCAAAATGGAAATGAGAGCCTATCCTAACTTGTTTAATCTTCTTCATATCATGAGGTTGATCTAGTTGGACAATATTTGCTAAAGCACTAATGCCTAGCCAATTATCCCACCATAGACTAATATCTCCGGCGTTGCATCTCCAAAGAATGTGTTTCTCTGCTTGATCTCTAATTCCCATCAAGTTCTTCCAAGAGTGAGAGTTTTTTTTATTCTTCTTCTTCTTGACAGGGTGTATTCTACTACAATATTTAACTCTAAGAAATTCAGCCCACAGGGACTTAGATGTTCTTAATCACCACCACCCTTTCATAGAGAAGGAGTTGCTCCCATCAATCAAGCTTCTGAAACCCTTACCCCTTTCCTCCTTAGGATAACACATATTATTCTAAGAACTCCAGTGGTATCTTTGTTTGCCATCAGAAGTACCCCAATAAAATCTGGCCATGTACTTCTTAATTTGTTTAAAAATAGTTTATGGAGGCACAATAGCTGCTAGAAGATGTAGAGGTTGAGACTGAAGAACATGTTTAATCAAAATAACTCTCCCCCTATAGATAGTAATTTTCCTTGCCAACCATTTGTCTTCCTCACAATCTTAGTTATAGACTCATTAAAATAAGAAATATTTTTCATTCTCACATAGAGTGGACATCCCAAATAGGTGATAGAGAACTTAGTGTGCCTGAAGCTTGTAATCTCTTTAATCTCAGCAATTTGACTTGGCTCAGCATTAGGCGCCACCAAAAAATATCTTTTATTACAATTAATAGATTGACCTGAGAACTTCTCATAGATCCTCAACTGCTGCATGAACAAATCGAGTGAATTCTTGGATCCAGATGTAAAAATCATAACATCATCAGCATAAGCTAGATGAGTAACCCGAGGTCCTGTTCTATGCATTGAGAAACCTTTAAAAAGACAATTGGATGACAAGTGATTAGGCATTCTAGAAAGGATTTCAGTTCCAATAATGAATAATGCTGGAGATAGGGGTTCACCTTGTTTAAGCGCCCGAGTGGAATGAAAAAACCTTTTCTTTTACCATTAATAAGAATGAAATACCATTTGTTCGATATGGATCTCCATATCATGTCAATGCATGCTTCGGAGAAACCAAACTTCCTCAAAGCTGCTAATATGAAGTCCCGGTTAACCCCATCATAAGCCGTGGCCATGTCCAATTTAATTATTATGTTGCCCCCCTCATTCTCCTTATTAATATCATGAATAACTTCTTGAGCAAGGAGTACGTTCTCAGTATAGTTTCTTCAGTCTTTAACCATCTAGTGTACTGAGCTTGGGCCTTATGTAACTCTGTCCTATGTTCTTCATCCTCACTATCAATGTATTGCATCTCTATTTGTATCATTTTGTGCTCCTATACTTTAACATTCAGAAAAACATCACCAATTTGCTCTTTGGACCACATGCTCAATTTTCTAGCAACCTGCTTATTTTTTGTTGGAACCTCCACATAACATTTTCAACAATTTGAGTACCCCAGGCTTGCTCCACAATAATGGAAAAATTAGGTTGATCAACCCAAAAATTTGAAAATCTCAAGTATCTGATAAAATTATGATCAGTAGCACCACATTTCATAAGCATTGGAGTGTGATCTGAGCATGTACTAGCTAAGTGAACAATTTCATTTCTGGGTAATAAACTGGTTCATTCATGATTGAGTAAAACTCTGTCCAATCTTTTTCAAATTCTATGCCCATTACCTCGGCCATTACAACATGTAAATCTAGGTCCACTGAACCCCGCATCCACCATGCCGCATTCTTCAATGCATGAGATAAATTCCCAACTTTTTTCCATCCTATGAGGTACGCCTCCCTTCTTTTCCTCAACTTCCACTATAACATTGAAGTCACCAGAGGTACACCAAGGACCATTGATACTTTGTTGCATTATCTCAAACTATCCCACAGAGATGTTCTTAGAATTCTCTTAGTTTTGGCATAGACAATAGTCATCCAAAAAATTATGTCCTCTGCTCTCTGGCTCATTTGAATTGTAACCTGTTGCTCATCTTCATAAAAAATAGTAGCATTGAGTTGTGCATTCCAGAAAATTTAGATTTTTCCATTGCTATTAGAGTGACAATTTTCAAACCCCAACATCCTTTCATAGGATTCAATGCGAGTAGAATCCACAAATGGTTCTTGGATAGCAATAAATTGGAGTTTGTACATGTTGGATATGAATTGTATTCTTTCAAACCACCCCCGGGGGCGGACTTTACCCCTCTAATATTCCATATAATGGAACTAATCATTAAATGGATGAGATTGGGGAACAATTTGTTTGGCTTTGATCTTTGCCCTAGTGAGAGGGGCGAGATCTCCAGTAGCATTTTTCTCTTTTTTCTTATTTTTCTCACCCTGCCTAGGTGATAAACTCCCTTTCATGATGAGATCCTTTGTCTGATCTTCCACTGCAATCTCTCCAGACTGGTCTTTCCATGAGGTTCTTGGAGCAAAAGCATTTAAAAGCTCTTCTTCATCCGTAGAATTGCACTCTTCATATTTGTCTTCTTCATCCCTTATGTCTTCATCGGATTCATCAGATGCATATTCACTAGTGTTGTCTTCATCGGACTCACCATGTTCTGTTATCATTAATGGTCCAGTTTTATCTTTCTCTGCCTGAGGTATCTGTTGGTTAGTACTATAATAATTGTCACCCTTTTGTATTCTACTGTTGATCTTCCTCTATTTACCTTGATATTGCAGTTTCTCCATTGATGTTTGAGGACCCGGAGGTGTACACCAAGAGTGATGCCCCTTATCTCTTTAGTCATAGTATGGATAATAACTTCGGGATTAGAAGAAACTATATTGGAGTTGTTTGTGATATGTGTTTCAGAAAATTTCTGAATCTCCACTGCTATACCCTTTCCCTTAAGATGTTCCATGGTATCCCACCTCTGTATAAGTGGTTATAGCCTTTGAACTATCATTTACAGTATTTTGGGGAGATAAGCATGCTTCAACATGTTTCTCACCCTCCTTGTTTTGTGCCAAATTATCTTCTTTATCGTTGGACTCCAACTCCTTGGAACTACTTTTATTAGTTTTCTGAGCAGACTTCACAACCTCAGTAGATTTCCCATTTTCGTTCAGGTGCAACAAATGTTGGAAAGAGTTAGCCACGGGTACAGGAGAATTATTGTACATACCTTTACGAATTTGAAATACAAAGTGACATAACACGTGACATCAACATCAGAGTTGGTCTGAATCTAATAGTACTATGTTTGAAAAATGAACCTTGGACTAGTGGCGGATCTAAGTGGAGTGAAGGAGTTCAACCAAACCCTTTCGTGGGAAAATTTACACCACTGTGTAACATTTAGTAGTTTGCATTATTTGAACAAATTAACACCAAAACTGTAACCCAAAAGAACAGAGAAAGTTTCAGCAAAACCATGGTATTTAAGTTTCCTAATGTAAAGAACAATGTTAGTTTGCTTAATTCTTTACGACCCTGTATTAGCTTTTCTTTGGAAATGAATAATAGCATTTCTCTGAATGTCTTCAAGATAAGTAGCACTAACTTATTTTTAATTCAAAAGAAAACAAATATAAACTTCTAATATGCAAAATAAGAATAATAATATATGATATCAAGTATCTCCAGAAGATTCAGAAAATAAATATATGAGCTCTTGCTCATGAAGTCATGATCACAAGTCAATGGTTGACATTTATTCAAAACACAAAGTTCTGAACTACAAATTGTTTGGTAGCCAATGACAATCATTTAAAATTTCCAATATTTCCATAAGATTCAGAAGAAAATATATGAGTCATGAGATGGACAAATAATTAAGCATCAAAATATTTAGATTTGAGTACTATAGCATATACATATAAAATATGCAAGTCCGGCCTAGTACCATATCATTTAATCTCAACTTATCTAGTTGAAGATACGAGAATGCATAAGAGCTCAAAACATAGGCATGTATATGATAAAACGCACAATTTGTAGGATACTAGCAATTTCCATAACCCCGATAAATACTCAGTCTCTATGTATACACTCGTCTCCTTGTATACATCGTCACCCCTTAAAAGTAGTCCATTAACTCTGTTTAAACATGCTTATCTTAGGAAAACCACATTTAGAGATCAAAGTCTCAACATACCTGGTATCCAAGTAAGATAAAAGTCCACAACTGCTTTTCCTCGTTCCATATACGTCAAACGTTCCCAATCCATTGAAATCAATGATTCTCTGGATTTTTTATTGTTGGCCTAAGTGAAGGTTAGTTTTGAAGATTGATAAAGGAAGTTCAGGCATGAACCAGGTCCATCCCTTGTGTGCATAGACACTGGCAGATTCGAGCATATGGGATGCACGTGAAGGAGATAAGCTTAACTTGGTATAATTGATATCTCCTGATTGAAAAGGGTTGCATAATTGAGAAGGAGAAGGACTCCTTAATTAGTATCTCCTGATCAAAAAGGGTTGCATAATTGATAAGGAGAAGGACTCCTTAATCAAAGAGAATACTATCCAAGATAAAGAAAAGAGTTAGAGGTTGAGATCAACTAGAACTCTTCCACCAAGGAAGAGTAACATTAAAACTCTAGTTATTTTTTACTCTACTAACTCTATAAATCGCAGGATGTTCTCATTAAACAGGGACGCACAAAAGTAGAAGTTAAACGTGAATTGAGAGCAAAATAGCAAGGTATTTTGCAAGCAGTTCGTGTGTGATTCAAGTGTGCGAACCTGAAGCTACATGAACCAGATAGAAGAATCAGTTCCAAGTGTTTATCTTTTATTCTAGTTCAATTATAATAAGTATTTTCATATTATACCTTTAACCTTTATCTAGAGGCAATTTTAATTGGTACTCCGAGTATTCAAGTTAGAGTTAACTTGAAGTTATCACAACAGTTAAAGGATGTGTGCCACAACGGGATTAGAGTTAATCCTAGGTTTACAAAAGTATTTTGTAAATGCAGTTTTTGGCTCAGTGATTTAGTGGAGAGTTTGGAAAAATCCTACTGAGAAGTAGGTCGTAATTTTTTCATATTTTGAGCAAGGTGTTTTCCACGTAAAATACTTGTGTTCTTTAATTTCTGCATTTATTATTCCGCAACAGTAGTATAAGAAATACATAGAAGAATCAGGTCCTTCTATAATCTGTGCATGCGAAAAATTGAATGCCACACAAATCACCCCCCTATTGTGTGATATTGAAGTTAAAACATTAATTGGTATCATAGCGGGTTATCCTTGAAGAGGCTAATACCTTAGGAGAAGATCAAGATGAGTGCACCACCTGGAAACTAGGAAGGGCAATCCACTGCTAGGCCACCACTCTTCAACGACCAGTATTACTCTTGGTGGAAAAACAGGATGAGAGATCACATCATAGGAGAAAACTATAAGCTATGGGACATTATCACAGATGGTCCACCGGCTACCATGAAGATAAATGTCGAAGGAGAAAAGGTGCCGAAAACAAGAGCCGACTGCACTGCTGACGATTTGAGGAAATGGGAGAAGAATGCTAAAGCCAAGAAATTGTTTGTTTGTGGACTCGGTCTAGATGAGTACAGTAGAATGCAAAGGTGTACCATTGCTAAGAAAATCTGGGACACTTTGTAAATGGCCCATGAAGGAACACCTCAAGTGAAGAGGTCCAGAGGAACCCTACTATATACTCAATATGAGAATTTTACCATGAAGGAAGGGGGAACCATCCAAGAGATGTATACAAGGTTCACCACACTGACAAATGAACTTAAGTCTCTTGGAAGGATTATTTCTGAAGAAGACAGAGTTGAGAAGATTTTGACAAGAGTTCTGCCAGTTACTTGGGAGAGCAAAATCACTGCCATTCAAGAATCAAAGAACATTTTCACTCTTAGGTTGGATGAGCTAATTGGAAATATCACTACTTATGAACTTAGAAGGCAAACCATGAAGATGGATGTACCCAAGAAGGAAAGGAGCTTGGCACTCAGAATCACTGAAGGTTCTGATCTAGAAGATAATGAAATGGCTATGATCACAAAGGATGTCAAGAAGTACCTAATGAGAGGAAAGGGTTCTTCATGAAGTGGAGGCTACAACAAACCAAGGGTTCCTGAAAAATAGACCAATGAGGGCTGCTACAAGTGTGGGAAGACTGATCACCACATCAAAAACTGCCCTCAATGGGAGATTGAATGGAAGAAGGAAAGAGCTGAACGAAGAAAAAGAAAGAAGGAACAGGTTCATCCCAAGAAGAACAAAGGATCAACAAAGGCTATGGTTGCTGCTTGGGGAGAAAGCTCAAATGAGGACTCAGATGATGAAGATGAAGATGAACAAGCACTTATGGCAATTGGAGAATCCGATGAGGAATCTGAAGTAAGTATAATCCATCTAAAAGACAAGATTAAGTTTTTATCTAAAGAAAGGCTATCTGAGTTACTTCTAGATTTCATTGATGAATCTGAGGATATAAACAATTAAAAGAAACAACTGTCTAAGGAATGTGTGATTTTAAAAGCAAAGTGTAAAAACCTGGAACTCAGAGTTAGTGAGATTGTAAGTGAAAATTCTACACTAAAGAACCAGGTTCATGCATTTGAATCAAATGTCCTAGAACTTAGATCTGGAAACCTAAAACTGAAATTAGTAACAAGTAAGAAGACAGCTGATTGCACACAACTCACTCTAGAAGAAAATGTAGGTAAACTAAAAGATGAGTTGTATAGGAAGGATGAACAGGTAAGAATTTTGACAGAGGATCTAGGCAAGGTCAAGCATGAACTAGACATAACTTGTAAATGGAACAGGTCTTCCGATGGACTGTCATGGCTGCAGGAACATCACAATAGCAATAGAAGAGGAATTGGCTTTGGGAATCTGCCACCTAAATGGGATCCCAAAAGCAAGTATCTCACACTTCCTGAGAACAAAATTTTCACACGCTGTGGTAAGACTGGTCACTATAAAAGTGAATGCACTGCAAAAGAAAAGGCTAGTCAAAAGAATAAAAAGTTTGTTCAAGGAAAAAATAGGCTGTCAGGTTGGGCTAAAAAGAATTTGATTCATCCTTTTGCCTATAGAAAGGGACCCAAACTAGTTTAGATTCCTAAGACTAGCCCCTAATTTCCTTTTACAAGTCCAAATGAAGGGGAGCAGCCAAATATGGTATATGGATAGTGGCTGCTCAAAGCACATGACAGGAAGCAAGAACCAGTTCCTTTCACTTGAGGACCTCAAAAGAGGTAATGTCTCCTTTGAAAATGGGAAAAAAGATGAGATCATTGGGGTTGGTAAGGTAGGTAAGACTGACTCTCACTTGATTGAGAATGTCTATTTGATAGAAGGCTTAAAATACAGTCTAATTAGTGTATCACAACTGTGTGATAGAGGTAACTTGGTACCATTCACCTCTACTAAATGCTTTGTGATTAATCTTACCACTGACAAGATTGTTTTGTAGGGAAAAAGAGTGAATATATATATATTGTAGATCTATCCACACTATCAGAAAATGAACTCACTTGCTTAAGTGTGTTAGACAATGATCCCCTCCTTTGGCATAAGAGGCTTGGACATGCCAGTCTGAGTCAACTCAACAAATTAGTCTCTAAGAACTTGGTGATAGGAATGCCTAATATCAAGTTCAAGGAAGACAAAGTTTATGAGGCTTGTGCAAGGGGGAAGCAGGTAATATCCTCTTTTAAATATAAGAAAGTGGTAAGTACCACCAGAACAATGGAACTAGTCCATATGGATCTCTGTGGTCCAATGAGAACATTAAGCAGATGTGGTAAAAGATATGTGATGGTGCTTGTTGATGATTACTCTAGGTTTACTTGGACATTGTTTTTAACATCTAAAGATGAAGCATTTGACATGTTCACTTTTTTTGTTAGAAAAACTCCGAAACAACTAGGTAATCAACTTTCATCAATTAAGTCTGATTATGGCACTGAATTTGAAAATGCTAAATTTGCTGAATTTTGTGATAAGCATGGCATGGATCATAATTTTTCTGCTCCTAGGACTCCACAACAAAATGGAGTAGTTGAAAGAAAGAATAGGACACTTGAAGATATGGCTAGGACTATGCTTCTTTCTAGTAAACTACCCTATAGCTTCTGGGCAGAAGCTGTAAATACTGCATGCTACATCATAAATAGGTGCATGACTAGACCTC